GTGCAAGCCATATCTACTATGTCAACTGACCATAAACTAATGGTCAAAGTACCAGGGTGGAAACTGGAAGCAGGACATGAACAGTCCCATGGTGAGAACTCTTCTTCTTTAACCAAAAACAAGCCAACCTCTTTTGTTAACTTCTCCATTTCCCAGTCACTGAAAGGATACGAAGCCCTGTGCATCTCACTGGAATTATTCAAGTATCCCACCACAAAATTCTGATGCAACCTGAAATTTAAAAAAAAAATTGCATGATTTTAATCTAATGAACTTAGAAGATGGGCCTGGAGTACATGCTATTTGGGCTAGGCTGCATGGGTATGAAGCACGAGTAGTGAGCTCAATTTAAGTAGGTCAGCATGACCCGATTAGCTCGGTTGCCACCTTTAGATGTGATATCATGATCGATAAGAAGACGTACGTACATGACTTTACTTGAACTTACCGGTCGAGTTGAGGAAAATTAAATATTATTTTATCAAACTGCATCTTGATAAGGAGAGGGTGATAGTGCATGGTATGCACATCTATGCCATGGAATATTTTGCATCTCCTGATCTCTAATTCTTATGTGCTTACTTTCTTTCAACAAGTTAAGCAAAAGCGCAGGACAAAATTCAAGTGCTCTACCCCTTGAACTATAAAGCCTTGCTATATTCAATAATAGTACTTGTATATTTTGGCATATCCCAGTAACATCCACTATGCCAAAATTTGACTTAGGCAACGGTGTCCGTTGCCTATGTACGCACCCTACCAAGGTATTCGTCCCTGCCAGATTTCAACAAATTGAAATAGAAGAAAACAAAATTTAAATGATGGGGCTTACCGTTGCATGTGAGGAACATCAATTCCAGAACATCCAGACCATGAAGTGGTAGAACTGTACAACAGCTTGGCAAATTTGAAGGTGCTACACATTCCAACATGAAAAGTTTTATCACACATCCCAGCTCCTCTCTTATTTTCATAACCTGGATAATCCAATAGTGAGAACTGTTCTTCATCAACCAGATATAACCCAACCTCTTTTGCTAACTCCACTATTTTCCATTCAGTAAAAGGAAATGTTGTCTTGTGTGTCACATGAATTTCTCCTATCGCAGTCAGCATTTCGCATGCATTCTTGAGGAATCCCCTGACCAAATCCTGATGAAACCTGAAAATGCATGAATTTCATTCAGAATTCAAAATCCTCTGTTTACATTTTTGTGCTAGTGTTCTGCTTATGATCAAAACTACATTGTTTCCATTCTTCATTTAATTACCCTTCTAATATAATCCTAAACCCTTTCCCCTAAAATAAACACATTATGAACACAAGATACCATAGAGCATATACCATGATTCTTAAAAAGGGCTGGATAGGTTTGTTTGAACTTACCAAATTTGTAACCTGTTGCGTTCAGAAGAAAAGAAACCGGCGTGAGGAAAATTATAGATTATGCGATCAAAGCGTACCCTAATCAAGAAAGGGTGTTGGCTCATGCTGTGGACATCCACCTCATGCAATACTTTGCATCCCCTGGCCTCTAACTCCTTCACATTGCTCATAGCTTTTGAATAATTCAGCATCAAAGACTCTACAATTAGCATGCAATGCAAAGATTCAATAAGCAAACCTTCCAGGTTTTTGTTCTCTTTTTGAAAGACAACATCTGTGGTCCTCTCTATCTATTATTTCCTTTGGGTCATTACCAAAATGTAAATTCTAAAACCTGACACAGAGTTAAATTGCAACCAAATTTAGAGTTAGTTGGTTGTTTTTATTTAAATTTCAAATTGGGTTGCTTGAAAACCAAAGAAATGGGCAGAAATAAACTTGGACGTTGACACAAGTCAATGGTGATCTAAAATTACCTCTGGAGTCGAGAGAAGTCGCAACCATGTTGACAGCCAAGCCAAAAGCTCTAGCTAAGCAAACAGAAAAAGAGAAGTCTCCTTCTCCGGCTAAGAGTATCTTCTGATAGCTGCTGTAATGCTTAATCTTTTTCTCAAAGCTAAACACTTCCATTCTGATTTTATTTTCTCTTCTCCTTCAACTTTCCCAGAATTCCTTCTTTTTTTTTCTTTTTCTTTTTTTTTCTCTTTTGGGACTTAAAACAGTTTGAGTTGGTATTAATACACGTCGAACACTTACAAATTAAAACATCATCTCTACTTAAAGTTTGGTATTTTAAAGCTATATAAAACAATAATTCAACAAAACAAAGGATGTACTTTTGAACGTGAAGGAAAAAAAAAAGTTGACAGAGATAGTGCATGAAAGGAATCTGCTCGTTTCACACAATGATGTAGTAGTTGTTGGGTTTGCAAAAACTGATTTGCATTTTGAATTTTGATTTGGAAAACTAAAAGAAGTCAAGAGTGCATCTGTTTGTATTGAAAAATCTGGTCAGATTGATTGCTTCGGGTTTCTGTTCATGCTGCCCCTACTTTCATTGAGGACGTTGAAGTAAATCTCTTTGTACTTCTACTTTACTTTTATTTTAAGTTATACTTTTACTTTTAAGCAGCCTTACTTTTTGTTTAGTTAAAGATGTAACTCTTGCAAAATCATGTTCAATCTCCTACTTCATTCGGTGGAAACCCCTCAAGGGGACGACCACGTAAATGAATGTTGTGTGTGGAATCAATTTGTATCCGCAACACGACACTACTACAATATTTGTGCTCTTTCAAGTTTAAAAGCACAAATATTTGTGCTTAATACCAATAGCTACAGTGCAGCCATGGTCGGTTTCCTCTATAGGAGTTTCTTTTGCTCATAGAGCACAAATCTGTGATCAGTAGCAAAAGTTTAGAGCACGAATAAGGGATTTGTGCATCTATTCCGACACACTTTTCAATTGATGTAACTTTTGTACAGACCCTTTTGGCACAATACTGAAATTGCTCAAGGAGTATACTTTCTTTATATATAAAAAATTAATTTATATGCTTGTGGTCTTCGTTCTCTATGCCATTGTATGCGATTTTCTTAGAAGAAATATCTGCGTATTTTCCTGCGGATGATAATGATGCTAGTGGAGGTTCAGTTGAGGAGCATCGGCACAAACAAAGCCTTAAGATATTTGGAAGGACTGTACGGGAACTTCTAAATCACTGTCTTGTGATGTGAAGAAAGAGGAAAAACCTTCACAGCTATGGAATCTGCATCTGAGAATGTGGAACACGTTTGGGATAATTTTCCCTATGGAGTACATTAAAGCATCTATTTTATTCAATTTCAGAATTAAAAAGAAGAAGAAGAATCATGACAATTAATGATGATGAAAGCATTTTGAATGTTTCACCATTCTCTACCTTTTGTTTTATATATACTAGCCTATCCGCACGCATTTTAGCGCTTGCAATAGGCTTTTTTTTAAAAAAAATTTTAATTTATTTTAGAATTAAAAAGTTAATGGATAGTTGTGTTCCATAAAAATATGATCTATTATCTGATTTTTCTTTTAATTTTAATTTTTTTTAATATGAAAAAGTGTGAATTTATCATATTATCCTCATTTAATTAATAATTTCAATTCTTAATGTTTGCATTAACCAATGGCATTTTCTGATATTTTGAATGTTTCACAATTCTCTGCATTTTGCTTTATATATATATATATATATAAAGAGATTAATAAAAGAATGAAGTTTGTAGAGTGTTCAAAACTCTGAAGTAACAAATAATAGTCTACAAAGTGCCATAAAGGTCAACAAAAAATGAAAGATGTTAAATTTGAATTTGACGGCTTAAGTCGGAATTTAGCACTTTGTAAATTTTTAAATCCACATAAAATGTCAAATAATATATTATTTTATTAAAGTTTTAAAAGAAAATGGGGCTCGTATGATGGATAAAACTTTAAAAGAGGGAAATTTATAGTGGAGCCCAATGTTAAAAAAATATTAAAAAAATATTTAAGATCAACCTTTATGAGATGTTATTTTGATATCAACACATTAACCAAAGGTTTATTTATTGCTCACCGCCTTTAGATTATGCCTTTCTCTTTCTTAGAGCATCTCCAGGAGAGTCTCCAAATTTTAACCAAATTCTAAAATAGCTAGAAAACTATTATAGCAAACCACTTAAAAATAAAATGTATTAAATATATTATTATTATTTTCTCTTTCTCTTTCTCCCTCTTTCTCTTAGAAATCAAATATATTAAAAAGAAAAGTAGAAACCCAACCCCACCAACCTCCCAAATGTCTCTATCTCTCTCCTTCTAGCCAAATTCTTTCTCCTCCTTGCTAGATGTAGAGAGCCAAAAGTTGGTTCTCCAAAATAGAGAGCCAAGTAGGGAGTCTGCTGGAAGGAGGATTTCCTTCTTTTTAGCCAAAGTAGCTAGGGATGAGAGGCAAACCTGTTCCACCAAGTACACCTCCAACATTGTCAGAACCATGATATTCTCTAGCAAGGGATAAGTGGCTCAAGTCGTTGGTAATATGAGTGTTCGCACCGGTATCAGCAACCCACTGTTGATTGCCACCATGTGAAGGATATTGAGCAATCATGCCTTGAAGATGAGAAGGAGGAGGAGGCACAGAAGACGCCTTGGAGGGATAGACAGCTTCGATGTGGCCAAAACCATGACAATAGAAACATTGAAGAGGTCCACGGGCAGAAGGAGGCCCAAAAGAGGAAGCAATAGAGCTAGAAGGAGGTGGGCCAAGAACACCAGGCCCAAAAGTGCTGCCAAAATGCTGTTGATGTGAGGCAGGACGAGAGGCACCATAGGAAGCGCCAAGGGAACTGTGACCAGAAGAAAAGCCAGGTCGGGAGGGAGAGAAGGAGCTGCGACGATCAGTACCACGACCAGCAAACCCACCGCGATTGCCAAAACCGCGGCCACCGCAACCACCATGGGAAGTGACCAGAGCCGTCGCACCAGAAGAGATGACTGGAGAAGAAGAAGATTGCAGGCGACGTTCCGCAGACAAGAGGAGAGCCTCTAGATCAGGCATACTGATGGGTTTCTCATGAGCATGTCATCTGAAACAGCTTGGCAAATTGCAAATTTGAAATAGAAGAAAACAAAATTTCTATGATGGGGCTTACCGTTGCATGTGAGGACCATTAATTCCAGAACATCCAGACCATGAAGTGGTAAAACTGTACAACAGCTTGGCAAATTTGAAGGTGCTACACATTCCAACATGAAAAGTTTTATCACACATCCCAGCTCCTCTCTTGTTTTCATAACCTGGATAATCCAATAGTGAGAACTGTTCTTCATCAACCAGATATAACCCAACCTCTTTTGCTAACTCCACTATTTTCCATTCAGTGAAAGGAAATGTTGTCTTGTGTGTCACATGAATTTCTCCTATCGCAGTTAGCATTTCGCATGCATTCTTGAGGAATCCCCTGACCAAATCCTGATGAAACCTGAAAATGCATGAATTTCATTTAGAATTCAAAAATCCTCTGTTTACATTTTTGTGCTAGTGTTCTGCTTATGCTCAAAACTACATTGTTTCCATTCTTCATTTAATTACCCTTCTAATATAATCCTAAACCCTTTCCCTTAAAATAAACACATTATGAACACAAAATACCATAGAGCATATACCATGATTCTTAAAAAGGGCTGGATATATGGGTTTGTTTGAACTTACCAAATTTGTAACCTGTTGCGTTCAGAAGAAAAGAAACCGGCGTGAGGAAAATTATAGATTATGCGATCAAAGCGTACCCTAATCAAGAAAGGGTGTTGGCTCATGCTGTGGACATCCACCTCATGCAATACTTTGCATCCCCTGGCCTCTAACTCCTTCACATTGCTCATAGCTTTTGAATAATTCAGCATCAAAGACTCTACAATTAGCATGCAATGCAAAGATTCAATAAGCAACCTTCCAGGTTATTTTTTTCTCTTTGTGAAAGACAACATCTTTGGTCCCCTCTATCTATTATTTCCTTTGGGTCATTACCAAAACGTAAATTCTAAAACCTGACACAGAGTTAAATTGCAGACAGATAAAGTAACCAAATTTAGAGTTAGTTGGTTGTTTTTATTTAAATTTCAAATTGGGTTGCTTGAAAACCAAAGAAATGGGCAGAAATAAACTTGGACGTTGACACAAGTCAATGGTGATCTAAAATTACCTCTGGAGTCGAGAGAAGTCGCAACCATGTTGACAGCCAAGCCAAAAGCTCTAGCTAAGCAAACAGAAAAAGAGAAGTCTCCTTCTCCGGCTAAGAGTATCTTCTGATAGCTGTTGTAATGCTTAATCTTTTTCTCAAAGCTAAACACTTCCATTCTGATTTGATTTTCTCTTCTTCTTCAATTTTCCCAGAATTCCTTTTTTTTTTTCTCTTTTGGGACTTAGAACAGTTTGAGTCGGTATTAATACACGTCGAACGCTTACAAATTAAGACATCATCTCTACTTAAAGTTTGGTATTTTAAAGCTATATAAAACGATAATTCAACAAAAAAAAGGATGTACTTTTGAACGTGAAGGAAAAAAAAAAGTTGACAGAGAGTGCATGAAAGGAATCTGCACGTTTCACACAATGATGTAGTAGTTGTTGGGTTTGCAAAAACTGATTTGCATTTTGAATTTTGATTTGGAAAACTAAAAGAAGTCAAGAGTGCATCTGTTTGTATTGAAAAATCTGGTCAGATTCATTGCTTCGGGTTTGTGTTCATGCTGCCCTTACTTTCATTGAGGACGTTGAAGTAAATCTCTCTGTACTTCTACTTTACTTTTATTTTAATTTATACTTTACTTTTAGGCAGCCTTACTTTTTATTTAGTTAAAGATGTAACTCTTGTAAATCATGTTCAATCTCCTACTTCATTCGGTGGAAACCCCTCAAGGGGACGACCACGTAAATGAATGTTGTGTGTGGAATCAATTTGTATCCACAACACGACACTACTACAATATTTGTGCTCTTTCAAGTTTAAAAGCACAAATATTTGTGCTTAATACCAATAGCTACAGTGCAGCCATGGTCGGTTTCCTCTATAGGAGTTTCTTTTGCTCATAGAGCACAAATCTGTGATCAGTAGCAAAAGTTTAGAGCACGAATAAGGGATTTGTGCATCTATTCCGACACACTTTTCAATTGATGTAACTTTTGTACAGACCCTTTTGGCACAATACTGAAATTGCTCAAGGAGTATACTTTCTTTATATATAAAAAATTAATTTATATGCTTGTGGTCTTCGTTCTCTATGCCATTGTATGCGATTTTCTTAGAAGAAATATCTGCATATTTTCCTGCGGATGATAATGATGCTAGTGGAGGTTCAGTTGAGGAGCATCGGCACAAACAAAGCCTTAAGATATTTGGAAGGACTGCACGGGAACTTCTAAATCACTGTCTTGTGATGTGAAGAAAGAGGAAAAACCTTCACAGCCATGGAATCTGCATCTGAGAATGTGGAACACATTTGGGATAATTTTCCCTATGGAGTACATTAAGGCATCTATTTTATTCAATTTCAAATTAAAAAGAAGAAGAAGAATCATGACAATTAATGATGATGAAAGCATTTTGTATGAATGCTTCAAAGTAACTTTCCCAAAAAAAAAAACAAAAAAGATAGTTTCAATTGAAAAAGAAAGAAGAAAAAGAATGCTTACCACATATCAGTGGTGGAGCCAGGATTTCATTTGTGTGGGGGCCTAACAAAATATATATATAAAAAATTCGAACTCACAACACGACTAAGTGGACCAAAACACCATGTTACAGTCCTGAAACATTCCATCTTTTTCGAAGCAGATTCGAACTTCCCCCACAATCTTCCATTATAACACTTTACATTTGCGAATTTGTTAGTCTTTTGCCTTATCACTTGAATGATCAAGCTAGGATAAAAATCCATCCCAACTGAAACTCCAGCATCCTCAAGCATCTTTGTCACATTAACGTCTTCATAAAATTTGAATGCTAAATTGAAGTAGTCTTTAGCAAGCAGATCAGAGTATTTATCATGGACTTTCCAATGTTTTTCCAAAGTTTTGTAGTCTCAGTCAAATCCTTCGCTGTTGGATTTAACCAGTACTCTTTCAGCTTGACAAAACAAGCTATTTCCTGCAAAATTTGAGTCATATGTGTAAAGTTGAAAAAGAAAACGTTGAACAAAAACCAAAAACAAAAAATAATACCGCAATCTTGAGTTGTTCGCCAATGAAATCCCTTTGAGCTGGTAAAACTGATCTGCACCATGGATGCACATTAACATCATGATATGTTGGCCATAGACCATGGATGATAAATCTCTATGCAATGGGTATTAGGCCAAAAACGGTCTTTCATTTGCGGGCAGTAGGTATTAGGCCAAAATACCGACAAGGTGTAAAAATTGAAATCATGAGACTCGCCTATGTAATATCGATTGAAAACTATCAGGTTTTTGTTTCGTTTTATTTGATCCAAAAGCGATCAGATTAAATAAATATGGGACATTCAATGGTTATAAAATTGTAGTGTTGTATTTGGAGAGTGTAATGAAGGAAGCGTGCGTTTAGACAATGAAGGAAGAGCAGCAACTGTGCAAGTTATTGGGCTGGTGAAAACCACTATTTGTTCTATCCACAACTAAAGCAACAATCAAGACACATGAATCAAATCAACCACATGCTTGTAGCTCATAGGTCTTAGGTCCGATTTCCCCTCCCCCAATATCACTTGTATAAGAAGAAATAATAAGCTTGAAATTGAATCAAATAATAGGAACAACTAATGCACGACAAAATCATGACATTCAACCACTAACCATGACTCCATGACAACTTGGACTCTCCTATTAACTAGCAACTAAACAACCAAGTCCCTAAAGAATAGGACTTTCACAACTTAACAAGATAATCATAAACATAATTAATAATAAAAATTCTTAACAAAGCAGCGGCAAAGCACCCAAGAGGCCGTAGCTGCAGGCTTGCAGCAACCACACCAAGTAAGAAGCGTTGCAATCCTTTGCTTTAAATTCATTTTCCCAACAAACATCTCATATGTTGGCTTCCTTCTTGTGAATGTTTCCATCACTACAATTCCAACATCCTCTCTTGTTGAAACCATTCCTTCCAATCCATACTCTGCATTACGAAAAATTGGCCTAGGCGGCCTGGGCAGGTCTGGGCAGCGCTAGGCGGGTCTATGCGGCCCTAGGCGGGTCTCGGTGCTGGGGTGGGTTTGGTTCTTTTCTTTTGTTCTTTAAGCCTACTGCCTAGAGATTTTTCAAACTCATGCACTACAGGGCAGGTCTAGGCGGCCCTGGGAGGGTCTCGTCGACGCTAGGCGAGTCTGGTTCTTTTCTTTTGTTCTTTAAGCCTACTGCCTAACGATTTTTCAAACTCATGCACTGTAGGGCAGGTCTAGGCAATGCTGGGAGGGTCTGGGCAGTGCTAGGTGGGTCTGGGTGGCGCTAAGCGGGTCTAGGTGGCGCTAGGCGGGTCTAGGTGCCAGGGTGGGTCTAGTTTTTTTCTTTTGTTCTTTTAAGCCTACTGCCTAGCGATTTTTCAAACTCATGCACTGCAGAGCAGGTCTAGGAGGTGATGGGAAGGTCTGGGCGGCGCTGGGAGGGTCTGGGCGGCTCTAGGCGGCTCTGGGCTGCTCTAGGATGGTCTGGGCGGAGCTAGGCGGGTCTGGGCTGCTCTAGGCGGCGCTAGGCGGGTCTGGTTCTTTTCTTTTGTTCTTTAAGCCTACTGCCTAGCGATTTTTCAAACTCATGCACTGCAGGGTAGGTCTAGGCGGTGCTGGGAGGGTCTGGGCGGGGCTAGGAGGGTCTGGGCAGCACTAGGCGGGTCTAGGCGGGTCTAGGCGTGTCTGGATGCCAGGGTGGGTCTGGTTCTTTAAGGTTTAGGGTCTGGGTGCCAGGGTGGGTCTGGTTATTTTCTTTTGTTGTTTTAGCCTACCGCCTAGCGATTTTTCAAACTTCATCTATCTTTGCATCTATCTTTGCTAATTGCTCGCACATTCTCATTTTTGCATCAATCTTTGCTAATTGCTCGCACAAGTCTCATTATTGCATCTATCTTTGCATCTATCTCAAACTCCATTAGTAATCTGTCACATTTTTTTCTAGGTACGTGTGCCATTTTCTTCTTTGAAGCCAATATTTCGAGCAATAACTGTATCAGATGCACAACCTTTTGACCCCAGCAATATTGTGTCATTGCAGGCACATTTCTGCAGCCACTTTTTTCAGTCTATTCTTTCACTTCATTTTCTTCTATGTTTATTGATGGGATTCAAAATTATGGCAGCTCATGTTTAGCAAGTTTGAATTTGATGGGAAACTGAATCCTACTTTTGTGGAAGGGGCATTTAAGCTCCTATTATCAAGCATACAAGCATATCTAAAAGAGCCTATTACTCCCAGGTTTCACATTCTTTTCATTTTGTTGGATTATCTTCTTATGACCAAACATAATTGATCTGCTAGGTGCACTTTCTGTTTTAGTCTTTAAACAATCTCTTTGCTTGTGTTCAGTGTAGGTTCGTACACTCAGGTTCTGCAGGAGTTACCTGACCTGACAGGCCTGGACTTGATCTAAGTAAACAACCTCCTGCTGTTCGCTTAAACAATGAATTGGATTTTATACTGACATTCAAGTTCAAGGTTTCATACTAATTCAGTGCACGCTGTTTGATATTTTTATGTATAATCAGTGTATCAAAATACCACTTCTTAGCTCTTTTCTGTTCTTTTTCTTTTTCTGGGTCAGATTTAGCTCTTTCGATTTTGTACATTGATAAGTTTTGGATAAGGGGGAGGACTTAATATGGGAAATGGAATACCATATACAATTGTGAGGCCTTGTGCATTAACTGAGGAGCCTGCCGGAGCAGATCTCATTTTTGACAAAGGAGACAATATAATGGTATATAATCAAATAGAAGATCACTATTCTCTCTTTGTTGTATCCCTGTGATGACATGTATTGCTCTTTCTTTCCCTTATAATAATAATAATATCTGAATGTTATGATTTATAGTATTTATATATATGCAGGGTAAGATATCAAGAGAGGAGGTTGCTCAGATTTGTGTTGCTGTTGTAGTGCTTAATGGAACTGCTTGAACTATTGAATATCTTGCAGGTCAGGGAAAACTGTTAACCTCCCAATTTGATCTTAAAAGCATACAAAAAAACTCCAATACGCGTGCAAGTTGGTAATTGAAAGGTTTCCTATTTTAATGTTCTTTCTAAGTCTGGTCATGTTCCATTTCCATGTTGTGTTATTTAATAAATTTTGGCCTTGCTGGAAAACCAGTAATGTTTCAACTTTACTGATGCAATAAACAGAAAACAATTCGGCTTACGAAATTCACTTGCTTAAACACTACAGGGTTCAAAATCACAACAAACTTCAAATAAACTAAAACAAAGCATGATATGGCCTAGAGCATCAACCACATGGACAACTAGTACTCTCGAACCACCGAGGAGGAAACTGGAAGCAGTACGGGAGGTACTTGGAAAATTTGAAGGTGCTAGACTTTCCAACAGGAAAAGTTTGGTCACATATCCCAGCCCCTCTCTTATTCTGATAACCTGGATAATTCCACAATGAGAAACTCTCTACATCAACCAAAAATAGCCCAGCCTCTTGCGCTAATGTCACTATGTTCCATTCACTGAACGGATATGTTGTCTTGTGTGTCACATGAACTTCTCCTGTTTCGGTCAGCATTTCTCGAGCACTCTTGAAGTATGCCCACACCAAATTCTGATGTGACCTGAAAATCCATGGTTTAATTTTAATCCAATTGATCATAGTACTCTTTTATTTTAAAGAAATATAATGTTGCATAAATGGAATAGTTTGTTTGAACCCACAAAATTTGGAAAATGCTATATTCAGACGAAGAGAGACCATTCGAGTAACCCGAGTGAGGAAAATTATAGATTATCCGATCAAACTGCTTATTATAAAGGCGAGGGTGAAGGTTCATTGTTTTGACATCCACACAATGCAAAATTGTGCATCCCCTGTCCTCTAATTCCTTTAAGTTGCTCATAGCTTTTGAATAGTTCACCATTAAAAACTCTGCAAATATAATACAGACACATAAAGGATTTTACTATAGGAACCATTTAATTTTAATAGAAGAATAATCTTAGTTATGCAAGTATATGACTTGTAATCTTGATTTGGGTTTTCTTTTTCTTTTTTGTATGAAACAGTCAACATTGATCCAATTACCTCTGGAGTCGAGAGAAGTTGCAACTATGTTGGCAGCAGAGCCAAATGCTCTAGCTAAGCAAGCTGCAAAGGAGAAGTCTCCTTCTCCCACTAAGAGTATCTTCTGATAACTTCTATAAGCCTTGCTATATTCAATAGTACTTGTATATTTCGGCATAATCCAAGTAACATCACTGTAAATAATGGGTTCAGTCATATGCCTATTATGGTAAGTGATTCAATGAAGGAACATTATAGCTCTTTTGGTGTATTAACCCTGAAAACGATTTAGGCTCACGCAAGTCACTTGCTCATTGTAGTATTAAAAATCACAACAAATTTAAATAAAATAAAACGCAATTCATGTACTGGGGCTTACCATTGCATGTGAGGACTAATAATTCCAGAATATCCAGACCATGGACCCGAAGCAGTAATTCCAAGGTTGAAACCGGAAGTGGTATAACCGTGCTGCTTGGTAAATTTGAAGGTTATACACATTCCCACAGGAAAAGGTTGATCACAAATCCAAGCTCCTCTCTTATTTTCATAAGCTGGATAATCCAAAAGTGAGAAATGTTCTTCATGAACCAGATATAACCCAACTCCTTGTGCAAACTCCACTATTTTCTGTTCACTGAAAGGAAATGTTGTCTTGTGTGTCACATGAATTTCTCCTATCGCGGTAAGCATTTCGCTTGCATTCTGGAGGAATCCCCTTATCAGATCCTGATGAAACCTGAAAATGCATGAATTTTATATAGAATTCGAAATCCTCTGTTTACATTTTTGTGTGATAGTGTTCTGCTTATGCTCAAAACTACAATGTTTCAATTCTTGATATAACTATCCTTTCTAATACAAATCCTAAACACTAAACCCTTTCCGCTAAAATAAACACATTATGAACCCAAAAATACATAGTGCACATACCATGATTCTTAAAAAAAATGGCTGCAGATATGGGTTTGAGTGAACTTACCGATTTTGGAACCTATTGCATTCAGCAGAAAAGGGACTGTGCAAGTAACCGACGTGAGGAAAATTATATATTATGCGATCAAAGCGTTCACTAACTAAGAAAGGGTGTTGGCTCATGCTGTGGACATCCACCTCAAGCAATACTTTGCATCCCCTGGCCTCTAATTCCATCACATTGCTCATAGCTTTTGAATAATTCAGCATCAAAGACTCTACAATTAGCATGCAAAGGATTCAATAAGGAACCCTCTAATTTTTTTTCATAAATAAAATAAAAGATTGCATCTCTGGCCCCCCTTTAACTATTACTTAACCACTAATGACTCTACAATTGGGATGCAAAGGATTTCAATCATGATTCAGAAACCCTCTCGTTTAAACAAAAGTTTAAATCTTAGGACCCCTCAATCAGGAACCTTCCAGGTCTTTTTTTTTTCTCCTTTTGAAAGACAACATCTTTGGTCCCTATCAAAACGTAAATTCTAACACCAGACACAGAGTTAAATTGCAGACAGAAAAAGTAACCAAATTTAGAGTTAATTGGTTGTTTTTATTTAAATTTCCAACTGGGTTGCTTGAAAACCAAGTAAATTGGGCAGAAATAATGATTAAAACTTGAACTACTCGGACGTTGACACAAGTCAACGGTGATCTAAAATTACCTCTGGAGTCGAGAGAAGTCGCAAACATGTTGACAGCCAAGCCAAAAGCTCTGGCTAAGCAAACGGCAAAAGAGAAGTCTCCTTCTCCCACTAAGAGTATCTTCTGATAGCTGCTGTAATGCTTAATCTGTCTCTCAAAGCTAAACACTTCCATTCTTGCTCTCCAACTTTCTCAGAATTCTTTGACTTGTTAATATTTTCCTTCTTGGGTACTTAAAACTGTTTGAACATTTTTGAGTCGGTATGTATACTCACACAACGCTTTGCCTCTTCACACCCTTTTGATTTGAAAAGCTTAGGAAGATGGAAAAGTGTTTGTGTGTGTCACATCAAATTAAAATAGCATCTCTACTTATCACTTTTGGCCTAAACGTTCAAGTTTAGTTTTTTTATCAAGGCACACTCTTGTCGGGTGTTTTGCATTGTATTTCATTGATTTATACTTTAAGTATTTCATAAAACATCATTTTTGTGAAAATCATCGAAATTCGAAGTAGTTTAACCATTTAGTTAAATGATTTTCATTTTAATGTTTTCTCCAAACACCATATTCGTTTATTTGTGAGTAAAATCTTCCATTATGCCCTCCTTTATAAGACTTCCTTTAGAAGCTGTGGCCTTCTTTTTAGAATCTTGGGCTTTTTAGGTTCCTTCCTTTGAAAACTTTCTGTCAATCAAGTCTTACTCATGTTATCAAAACAACTAAACAAGTGCCTAGCCCATGTGGAAAGAGGGCCTTGACTTGCAGATAAAATGTCTCAAGTTCGATCATGACCCCCTCCAATATAATTTAAACTGTCGATCGCTTGTACTGTTTTATTTATTTATTTATTTATAAAAAGAAGTGCAACCTTACTTTACATTTTGGAAAAGCCGAAATAAAATGTGCGTGCAGGTAGTAAGTACTAAGTGGTGCCAGGAACAAGAGAGAGTTTTTTCAGTGAGAAAGAAAGACGTCTTGTAAATCTTGTTCAATCTTGTGAAAACCCTCAGAGGCCTTAACCTCAAACCTAGCTCATTCTGAGCAAACCACGTAAATGAATATTTTGTGGAATGGTTTGTATTTCCAAAATGCGGGCAAATTTACCTTATCAAATCCCTTGATGCAACTTTGCCTTTTTGAACCTACTTTCTCAATAAGATGACATGACATCGCACACAATTAACAAAGTGTTTTATTTAGGGAATTTGCCTCAGCCCAAGTAACTCATGTTTTATATGAGGCAAATGTTAGAGATAAAGAGCATATAAAATAAAAAAATCATTTGCCTTATGGTCTTACATAGAGCAGGGATTCTAATTCAACATGAAGTATCCGACAATGGTAGTGAGGATTGTGATCTTGGAAATCTTCAAATCTTATGGAGATCTCAAATTCTTGTGGCCATGCTTTGGTTTCTTCCTTTCTAAGCTCTCTGAATAAGTGCAAGCCATATCTACTATGTCAGCTGACCATAAACTAATGCTCAAGGCACCAGGGTGGAAACTGGAAGCAGCACGAGGGTACAAGCGTTTGGCAAATATGAAGGTGCTTGACGCTCCAACATGAAAATTTGCTCACATTTCCCGACTCCTCTCCTACTTTTGTAACCTGGATAGTCCCATGGTGAAAACTGTTCTTCTTTAACCAAAAACAAGCCAACCTCTTCTGTTAACTTCTCCATTTCCCAGTCAGTGAAAGGATATGAAGTCCTGTGGGTCACATGAATTTCTCCACTTCTGGTCAGCATCTCACTGGAACTCTTCAAGTATCCCATCACCAAATTTTGATGCAACCTGAAAATTCCAAAATCCATGATTTTAATCTAATGGACTTAGAAGATGAGGCTAGAGTTTAGGCTATTTGGGCCAGGCTGACCGGGTATACATGAAGCACGAGTGAGCTCAATTTAAATATGTCAGCTTGCTATGCCACCTTTAGTTGTGACCATTGATCGATATAAGAAAACTTACATGCATGGTTTCGCTTCAACTTACCAGATTTTGGATTTCTTCTTTTTCGAACCATTCAACTGATCGGAATGAGGAAAATTAAATATTATTCGATCAAACTGCATCTTGATAAGGAGAGGGTGATAGTGCATGGTATGCACATCTAGCGCATGGAATATTTTGCATCCCCTATTCTCTAATTCCCTCAAGTTTCTCAAAGCTTTTGAATACTTCACCATTAATTCCTCTACAATTAGGATACAAATGAATTCAGTCAGATTTGTTATATAAATATTAGAAGCAAATACCTTAATGAGGTAACTTTAATATCAAAGTATATTTCTTATAATCAGAATTGGTGAAACAGTCAAAGATGATCCAATTACCCCTGGAGTCGAGAGAAGCTGCAACCATGTTGGCAGCAGAGCCAAATGCTCTGGCTAAGCAAGCTGAAAAGGAGAAGTCTCCTTCTCCCACTAAGAGTATCTTATGAGAACTTCTGCAGTGCTTAATCCGTTTCTTCTCTTCCAACTTACTTGAAACTCGTCCCAATTCTTTAACTTCTGTTCATTTTCCGGGACTAAATTTATTCTAACATTTTCTCAAATGTAAAGAGTTGCAGGCTAGAGAGGCAACTGTTAGGCTCACCCTCAAATGTCTCACATTAAATTTTCCATGCATTCATTCCTTGTTTTCTTTCCCAGTCTGTTTATGTTCCATGTGTGCCACTGTTTATGTCCTGTCTCTTATACTTCAATCCCACATCGACGAGTAAAAGAGTTCATAACGCCTTATATACTTTTGCCCAACACAATGGGTTGGCCAAATTCAATAGAACCTGAAACAAAAACACACTCAAACTCTCTTGGGTCTGGCCATTTTTGTTTGCTGTATTTTATTTTTGTCTGCAACTTCCTTTTTGGAAATTCTAATACGACTACTTTTTTTTTTAGAAAATAAAAATAAATAAACATTAAAACAACAGGCATTTTACTGTTTTCTGGAAAACTTGTCGATTGATTTGCTACTTTTTTTTTTCGTTTTTTTTTTGGGTAAAAGCATTGGTTCTAGTATTTATGGATGTAATTTTTAGCTGAAACCCTTCAAAACTTGCAACACCTAAAGTAAGATTGTAGTTCTTAAATGTTTTTTTTTCCGACTGCAATTGAGTGGGTATGTCAAAAAGATTCAACTTGGAGTAAACGCGCCCTAAATTTATTATAAAAATAAATAAATAAATAAAACTCGTTCGGAACCTGAGGTCAAGGCCCAAAAATAAATAAAAGAATAAAACACAAAAGGCAAAAGAACTTAAAACAACATTCATTAAAACTGTTAGATGAACAATGTTAAGATTCATGCTTTTCCTGATACCTGTCGCTGTAGTATGCGCGGCTATACTATTGGAATACAAAATATGTTAAACAAGTATAGCCGCACGGCTCTACACTTTAAATAAAAAAATATATTTAATATTTAAAGTCGTATAGCCGCACGGCTATACGTTTTAAATATATATATATATATAATTATTTTTTATATTTCATTCTCTAAATATATTTCCACCGCCACCTCCAGAGCTCAACAGCTCCGAAGAATCGAGCTCTCCTCTGCCCCCACCTCTTCTGTCACTGCTCAAGAGCCCCAATTCCGTTGGTAACTACCAATTGCAATCAATTTTCTGCCCCCACCTCTTCTCTGGTGCCTGGTCTCCATGCTGTCGACGTTGACGTCCCTCTCGAGAATTTGCTCAAGGTTTGGGTAGAGAGTTCCATATAGGTCTGGCAGAAGCTTTAGATTCGGAGGCGGTATGGTTATTCTATTGCATGCATGAATTTTACTTATTTTATTGAACATAATGCTGATTTGCCGTAAACCATTTCCCCTTTTTTTGGTTTCTAACACATTTTGTTATTGTAAAACTTGCAGTGGGATGGTTTTGTCAACAATGATCGCTGCTGGGTTAGCTGAGGTATGATTGCAAGCTTTCTCTTTATACAACTTACAAGTTTTGTTGTTTTGAGTTTTTATTTAGATGTAAAATTTTGTCACTAGTTAGCCAAAAATATATGTGAGATTTTTCAAAGGCATGTAGGGCACATTACCTGCCAAATCACACACACAGTGTTAAATATAGTTGACATAAACTTATGTGGCAACAGGAAAAGGATTTTAAGTAGGCAATAAACAGGACAATTTAAATCTCTATTACTCAATTGAATACTGCGTTTACATATTACATGGAATGGTTTAAAAGTTAAAACCGAACATATGAAACTGAAAGTGTGTATAATTCATTCCGGAACTTCCACGAACGGTAGCACATTTCGTAGCGAATATAAAACTTGACAGGCCTACTTTCTAGCTGAAGATGCACCCTAGATTTAGCTATATTCAGATAGTACAAACAAAGTAGTTGACATGCAAACAATGGTAATGTATGTTGAGACATGTCAGTGTTGATCTAAATACCTCTGGAGTCGAGAGAAGTTGCAACAATGTTCCTAGCAGAGCCAAATTGTCTGGCTAAGCAAAGTGCAAAAGAGAAGTCTCCTTCTCCCACTAATGCTTAATCTTCATTTCTTTAATTCTTAAACTTCAAATAAACTAAAACAAAGCATGATGTGGAGAAGATATTACATCTTAAAATCATCTAATCTATAATTCTGTAATAAAAGATGGTTGAAAAAGTGTAGAAGAAGCTTTGTCCTGTCTCTTATACTTCAATCCCACATCGACGAGGTAAAGGAGTTTATAACACTTTATATACTTTTGTCCAAAGCAAGAGGTTAGCCTAATTCAAAAGAATCTGAATCAAAAAACACTCTCAAACTCTCTTGGATCTGGCTTTTTTTATTTGCTGTTTTTTTTTTCCTGCAACTTCCTTTTTGAAAATTCTAATACGACTACTCTTTTAGAAAATAAAAATAAATAAACATTTCAGTGCTATCTGGAATTGTCGATTGATTTGCTCTAGTTTTTTTTTTTTTTTTTTTTTTTTTTTTTGTTCAAGAAAAGCATTGGCTGTAGTATTTATGGATGTAACTTTTAGCTGAAACCCTTCAAAACTTGCAACTCCTAAAGTAAAGATTGTAGTTCTTAAATTTTTCTTTCCAATTCCTAAAGTAAAGATCGAGTGGGGATGTCAAAAAGATTCAAACTTGAGGTAAACCCGCCCTAAATTTATAAAAATAAAAATAAAAAACTCGATTGGAACATGAGGTCAAGGCCCGTAAATAAATAGAAGAATAAAACACAAAAGGCAAAAGAACTTAAAACAAACATTCATTAAAACTTGAGGTATACCTGTAGCTGTAGTATAAAATACAAAGTAAAATATGTCAAAGATGTATTATATGATTTACTTCATTTGGCAGCCGTATCTTTTGTGGGTGAGTTTTGGAAAGCTTCTTAGAAAACTTTTCTCTTCTTCTTCCTCAAGAGTGAACCTTCATATTTTTCATCTTTGAGTTTTCAAAACTGATTTTTCGAAAACTGCATTTGAAATATGAAAACCTCATCTTGCTAGATCAAACACTCTCTCATATATATCTAGGTCAGATTCAAGATTGATTTCTTCAAGAGTATGGTTTCTTGAAGAAATTGGTCATTTTACAAGGCATTCTGGTTTCTTGAAGAAATTGATCATTTTACAAGGCATTCTGCCGCATGAATGCTAAGTTAGTAAGCTGCAAAATCATGACAAAACTGCTCCATCAAGAAAGAGAGGCGCCGAATCCTTGCAAGAGGGGGGGCAGACCGGTCAAAGTCAAGTTACTCCTTGAATCCAAATTTCGTTTTTGTCTGAGTTGGAGTTGGCTAATTAGTGCCATGGGATGAAAGAGCTGAAGAAGGAGCTGTCATTGCCATGAAAGACTAAGCTGCTGGTTTTTGCTAAGCTGGAGAAGAAGATTGCACAAAGGAGGTATAGCTCATCTTCCTAAATAAACCGAGGATTTGTTGAGCTTACTAGTGTTTCTTTGTAAGAATCTTTTTGCTTAGTGGATTGTCTGGTTGGTTGATGACCCCCAGTTTTTCCCAATGGTGGGTTTCTGGGTGAACAAATTCTGGTTTGCATCTCTGTAATTTTCTGGGTTTGTGTTCTTGACAGTTGACTAGTCATTGCATGATGTTCATGTATTTCTGAGTTTGTGTTTTTGCGGTTGACTAGTCATCATTTTCTGTTGTTTGGTGTTTACTTGATTATGAAGCCTTCACACACATTCACCATAATTGTTGCTAGCACAAGGGATGCCTAGATTGACGAGTCCTTCTGAGTGCTTTGGTTGTCACTATTAATTCTCTAGGCTTGCAGGTACGTATTGATATGCTATGTGTATGTTCTTGTCTGTGGTGATTCATGGCTGACAGTTGGCTAGTCATAAGTATATTTGGTCAAGGATTAAAGTATGTGAAGATCACTGTGTCTACTTGAATAACATTTAAATTTACCCCTCGCCATCTAAGTACCAATTTCATCATTTTGATAGAAAAAAGTAACAGAAGTTACTTTAGGACTTTTGTTACAAACGAAAGTTAAAGTTAAGGGACTATAGAAACCATTTTGAGAGTTGAGAAACTAAAGCTCAAATGGGTACAAAGTTATCTTAAAAAGTAAAAGAAATTTTTAATATTATTTTTTTACATATTTTATTACACCTAAGCTAATAAAGTGGACCCCATGTTTGCCATGTCATCACTTAACAAAAGACCAAGCAATCAAATTGACAGAACCTGTAAATTGGTCGAATTTTAAAACATTAGGGTGTAAATTGACAAAATTAAAACCGCGTGGCCCATTTTAAGAATGACCCCAAATCTTAAAAGGGTAAAATGATGTTAACCCAATAAATTAATACGTGAACAAGAGAACATTATAATTTATTTTTATATGACATCCTCTGAACAACCTAACTTATTGGAATATCCAATTGAGGATTTGATTACACAATGTAATTATGTAGTTCATTTCTCATTGAATAAAAGATAGTACCCTCTAAAATTTGTTTTATTATGGGTTCACAACATAAACTTGTTCTTTAATTGAGAACTAGATTATATTATACTACTAGTCTCTTGTCACAAGCTCAAATGCGTACCAATAGGCTTTCTTTTTGTATTTTTATTTTATCCTTCTTTGTTGAGAACATTTGCTAGACATTAACTCTTTTTTTTTTTTTAATTACTTATAAATATATATACTTTTCTTTTTTTTTTATGTATTGGACTCTCTAAAAATTTGTTGCCGCCTGTTTTTTCCCAAAAAAATTAAGAAAGTAATTAAAGCAATCAGCCAGAATTGATGATATTTATCAATGAGAAAATTATGACGGATTTGAAGGCCAATTGATAACCGACCAAATTGATATGGTCTTGCCATGTCAATTAATGAATATTGCCCATGAATTCTATTTTTTATTTATTTGTCTTTTTCAATAATCCTTCAAACCCAAAAAAATGAAAAATAAAAAGTAACCCCATCAGCGTTGCTGGTCTGCAGCCTCACGTTGGTTCTCTACTCTTCCTAACGTCTCCAGTCCCCTCTTCCTCCATCAAATCTATCCATTGCTGGAGATGAAAAGAATAATCATATTGAGTTGACACTATTTCAATTTTAATAGTTCAACCCAATTTCAATTTTATTAAGGAAACTCGAGGTCTCAGCAACGACATGGAGGATGGGAGATGGGTAGATTTGATGGAGGATGGGAGATGGGTAGATTTGATGGAGGAAGGGAGGGTGGAGTCGTTAGGAAGAGAATAGAACCAACGTCAGGCTACAGACCAGGACGCTAGGGTTATTTTTTATTTTTTATTTTGCGTTTTAAGGATTATTGAAAAAGACAAATAAATAAAAATAGAATTTACATGGCCAGCTAATGTGGTCAATTTTATGTGTCTAAATAGCATTATTGAATTGAAAACAACAAAACCAATAAGGGGAAAATGCAATGAAGCACAAATATGGTACGTACGAACATCTAAATGATTATGAGAGATATCATCAAAGATCCACAACAGCATATCCCTCTAAGAAGCATAAGGGGGTACTAATTAAACGACACTAGGATTCAGAGAAGCATATGCAAGCAGTTCCTCATTGCGTTCAATTATAGTCATGTGTTCTTCCTCCAAACTCAACAACGCTTCTATGCCAACGCCATCACTCATGTCCATCAATAAAGTTGTATTCTTGGATTCAATGCGACAGAAACTCATCCATGATGGCTTTCCCCAACCAAAGTCGGCTTGGTAGAACGAAAACCTGCACCAACTGATGCAACTATAGGTCTCAATGCTATCCTTCATTATGAGATTCTTAATCCCTTCAATGGTTTGAAATGCATCCTCACCACTAACTCCATTAGCATACTTTTCTTTAAATTCCTCAATGCCCTTCCTCAACTTATGAACCAAGCTTTCAAGTTCCACTTTATCACTTTTCATAGTCATTGCTGTAAACATCGAAACAAAGTTCCCCAATATGTTTTCTGCCATGTCAAGCCCTGATCTTTTCCTCATGTTCACCACTTGATTCCACGCGGATGGCTTTGTAAAACCCAAGTTTGATCTCGATGCTCGCAACGCGCATTTCCAAATGAGCGCAGACACTACTTCAACACGCGTAGGATTTGGCACTGCATGATTGGTTGGGGTGAATTGAAGACATCTTGTGGTGGGAATAGAGTAGGTGCAACACCAAATTCTGCAGGAAGCAGAACCTGATCACTAGTAGTTTTGGCAACCGAGCCAAGTGCAATTTCAGTCCAGCTTTTGATGAATGTGCTGAGTGTCGATGCATCAGCAACCTTATGCGAAATGCTGATTCCAACTGCCATTCCACCACATTCAAACAAGTTGACCTGGACTAGTAGAAGATGGCCTGCCTCTGATTGTTTGCATTGTATTCCAGTTGGAAGGAATTGTGATCAATGTTGTTGACCACATCGTCACTAATATTGTTGGGGTAGAAGAGAAGTAATGGGATATACGTTTCATTTTGTAACTGATCAAAAACAGAGAGACTGGAAGTTCTAAGGTGGTGAGTAGTTGGAGAAGATGGCTTAATTGTTTCTTTGTGAATGACTTCAACTTTGATTTCTGAAGCCATCTTTTGTTTCACACGTGAGAGTTTCATTGCAAAGACGTCTATTTAAAGACGCAGAGTCACCACTTTTAATTAATATATATATTCTGTGAGGGATTTTTGAAGACGAGACTTGTAGTTTTGATTGGTGGCTCCTGCTGAGAGATTCTTCTGACAAAAAAACAAGCTGAGATTCTTTTAGCTAGATGGCTCACAGTAACTACAAGAGTTGCTCCTGGAAAAAAAAAACTACAAGAGTTGCTAGATAGGATTGTTTATTGGTTTATTAACGTGTTAGGTGAGATTTTGGGAAAAAAATAATGTGTTAGGTGAGATTTAAATGCTTGCGGACAGATTCTCTCAGGATATGATAAATTTCCAAAATGAAGGCAAATTTACCTTGTCAAATTCCTTGATGCAACTTTGCCTTTTTGAACCTCCTTTCTCAATAAGATGACATGACATCGCACACAATTAACAAAGTGTTTTCTTTAGGGAATTTGACTCAGTCCAAGTAACACACGTCTTATATGAAGCAAATGTTAGAGATAAAGAGCAACATAAACCAGAAAATAAAATAAAAAATCATTTGCCTTATGGTCTTAGATAGAGCAGGGATTCTAATTCAACATGAAGTATCCGACAATGGTAGTAAGGATTGTGATCTTGGAAATCCTCAAATCTTATGGAAATCTCAAATTCTTGTGGCCATGCTTTGGTTTCTTCCTTTCTAAGCTCTCTGAATAAGTGCAAGCCATATCTACTATGTCAGCTGACCATAAACTAATGCTCAAGGCACCAGGGTGGAAACTGGAAGCAGCACGAGGGTACAAGCGTTTGGCAAATATGAAGGTGCTTGACGCTCCAACATGAAAATTTGCTCACATTTCCCGACTCCTCTCCTACTTTTGTAACCTGGATAGTCCCACAGTGAAAACTTTTCTTCTTTAACCAAAAACAAGCCAACCTCTTCTGTTAACTTCTCCATTTCCCAGTCAGTGAAAGGATAAGAAGTCCTGTGGGTCACATGAATTTCTCCACTTCTGGTCAGCATCTCACTGGAACTCTTCAAGTATCCCATCACCAAATTTTGATGCAACCTGAAAATTCCAAAATCCATGATTTTAATCTAATGGACTTAGAAGATGAGCCTAGAGTCTAGGCTATTTGGGCCAGGCTGACCGGGTATACATGAAGCACGAGTGAGCTCAATTTAAGTAGGTCAGCTTGTTCCGATTAGCCCGGTTGCCACCTTTAGTTGTGACCATTGATCGATATAAGAAAACTTACATGCATGGTTTCGCTTCAACTTACCAGATTTTGGATTTCTTTTTCGAACCATTCAACTGATCGGAATGAGGAAAATTAAATATTATTCGATCAAACTGCATCTTGATAAGGAGAGGGTGATAGTGCATGGTATGCACATCTAGCGCATGGAATATTTTGCATCCCCTATTCTCTAATTCCCTCAAGTTTCTCAAAGCTTTTGAATACTTCACCATTAATTCCTCTACAATTAGGATACAAATGAATTCAGTCAGATTTGTTATATAAATATTAGAAGCAAATACCTTGATGAGGTAACTTTAATATCAAAGTATATATCTTATAATCAGAATTTGTGAAACAGTCAAAGATGATCCAATTACCCCTGGAGTCAAGAGAAGTTGCAACCATGTTGGCAGCAGAGCCAAATGCCCTGGCTAAGCAAGCTGAAAAGGAGAAGTCTCCTTCTCCCACTAAGAGTATCTTATGAGAACTTCTGTAGTGCTTAATCCGTTTCTTCTCTTCCAACTTACTTGAAACTCGTCCCAATTCTTTAACTTCCATTCATTTTCCGGGACTAAATTTATTCTAACATTTTCTCAAATGTAAAGAGTTGTAGGGTTGAGAGGCAACTGTAAGGCTCACCCTCAAATGTCTCACATTAAATTTTCCATGCATTCATTCCTTGTTTTCTTTCCCAGTCTGTTTATGTTCCATGTGTGCCACTGTTTATGTCCTGTCTCTTATATTTCAATCCCACATCGATGAGTAAAAGAGTTCATAACGCCTCATATACTTTTGCCCAAAACAATGGGTTGGCCAAATTCAATAGAATCTGAAACAAAAACACACTCAAACTCTTTTGGGTCTGGCCCTTTTTGTTTGCTGTATTTTATTTTTGTCTGCAACTTCCTTTTTGGAAATTCTAATACGACAACTTTTTTTTAAGAAAATAAAAATAAATAAACATTAAAACAACAGACATTTTACTGTTATCTGGAAAACGTGTCGATTGATTTGCTCCTTTTTTTTTTCTTTTTTTTTGGGTTCAAGGAAAGCATTGGTTCTAGTATTTATGGATGTAATTTTTAGCTGAAACCCTTCAAAACTTGCAACACCTAAAGTAAGATTGTAGTTCTTAAATGTTTTTCTTTCCAACTGCAATTGAGTGGGTATGTCAAAAAGATTCAACTTGGAGTAAACTCGCCCTAAATTTATAAAAATAAAAATAAAAAACTCCATCGGAACATAAGGTCAAGGCCCAAAAATAAATAAAAGAATAAAACACAAAAGGCAAAAGAACTTAAAACAACATTCATTAAAACTGTTAGATGAACAATGTTAAGATTCATGCTTTTCCTGATACCTGTCGCTGTAGTATGCGCGGCTATACTATTGGAATACAAAATATGTTAAACAAGTATAGCCGCACGGCTCTACACTTTAAATAAAAAAATATATTTACTCTTTAAATATTGTATAGCCGCACGGCTATACGTTCACGGCTATACGTTTTAAATATATATATATATTTTTTTTATATTTCATTCTCTAAAGATATTTCCACCGCCACCTCCAGAGCTCAACAGCTCCGAAGAATCGAGCTCTCCTCTGCCCCCACCTCTTCTGTCACTGCTCAAGAGCCCCAATTCCGTCGGTAACTACTAATTGCAATCAATTTTCTGCCCCCTCCTCTTCTCTGGTGCCTGGTCTCCATGCTGTCGACGTTGACGTCCCTCTCGAGAATTTGCTCAAGGATGGGCTCAAGCGAAGAGGTTGGTTTGGGTAGAGAGTTCCATATAGGTCTGGCAGAAGCTTCAGATTTGGAGGCGGTATGGTTATTCTATTGCATGCATGAATTTTACTTATTTTATTGAACATAATGCTGATTTGCCGTAAACCATTTCCCCTTTTTTTGGTTTCTAACACATTTTGTTATTGTAAAACTTTCAGTGGGATGGTTTTGTTAACAATAATCGCTGCTGGGTTAGCTGAGGTATGATTGCAAGCTTTCTCTTTATACAACTTACAAGTTTTGTTGTTTTGAGTTTTTTATTTCGATGTAAAATTTTGTCACCAGTTAGCCAAAAATATATGTGAGATTTTTCAACTTCAATCATTTTAGATAACAAAGCAGATTCAAGCTATCAATGAGGTGTATAAGCTTGACAATCTTCCTGAATTTTACAAGGTTAGCATTGGTTAATAGGAGCAAGTGATTGTGCATGAATTTTACTCATAACTCGGAAAAAAAGAAATCACAATATTGGATGTCGTTCATGGCAGGATCCAGGTCCTCATAACTCGGAAAAACAGAGGCCTAAAGTCCATCCCTTGGTTATGTCACAACTCAGGGGAGGATATATGACAGGACCCGTCCCGAATTTCCCGGAATCCGAGACGAACCCTGCGGAGACCCCGGCATCACACCCACGCCGGGTTCACTCCTTAAATCTATGTCCTCATTTACCATAGAGGATTAAGGGCACGAGACTTTCTGCCGAAATTTCGGCAGAGTCTCCCCTGTAAATTGAACATTTCCCCAAAATTTCCACCTGCATAAAGCACATTTATAACCCAACCGGCAGCATGCACAATATAATCTCATGCAATTACATAAATGGCCTCCGACCTTCAAATGATTCTAGCAGAACTGCCAAATAATAATTTTAAAATAACTTCATGCATCAAACATGCATATAACAACTTCAAAATCTAATTACGCACACCTTCACCCACTTAGTCCTCAAGACCAATCTCAATTCAACCAAGTTTCAGGACCAACAACAAGGTCCGAACCAATCTCAATAAGACCACCTAAGTGGGGTCTAATCTGTGGCTGCACCTAGTAACTTCAGGCTGCCTACGTACCCTACAAAGGGATCAAGCCACACGTAGCTCTTTCCTATCAATCCTGGCTCCTAATATCAAATAACCCATTACCACCACACAAATACATATATTCTAAGATTTATCCATCACAACACACCAAACACGATCACAATATCACCCCTCATACGACGGGACGCACCCGGCCTCGTATGAGGCCTGTCAACACGCCGGCTAATCCACAGACGCGTGCGACCTCACAACTGGCCTGGC